GTTTTTATCAAATGTTTAAGTCAAAGGGCCTTGGAGAGGCAATGAATTCTAGGGTGATGTGTTTAAGAGATTTTACACTTGGATTTCCTGGTCTTCATTCTGCTTTAACCAGCTAGCGCCTCTTATTCCTAAGATCACCCTGTTTACCTGTCTACAGTATCTACCTATCTACCTACCTACCATCTTTCCTTCTGTCATCTATCCATTAATCATTCTCTATTTATGTCTTATAATCTGTTAGTAAGCAGTGCTTTTCTCCTTTATTCTTTTGAAGGGCCTTGGAGAGACAGTGATTTTTAGGTGATGTATTAAGGTGATTTTATACTTGGATTTCCTGGTCTCCTTTCCCCTCTTATTGTTAAGACCACCATATTTACCTATCTCTCTATAGTATCTCTCTCAATTTGTGGGTGAACAATGCTTCAACCACCGCCTTCCTCTCCTCAACTCCACTCGCATCCTCCCTCTGCTGAGCCTCTGGGTTTCTGGCGCTGTCTTTGGTCCTGAATGCCGTCTGCTGTGAGATTTAAGTGCTTCCAGGCCTGCCGGTGCAGTCTGTTCCTTTTGCTGCTTTAGAGGTTGCCCCAGGGCGGGGACCAATCAGATTGGGGGATTGCAAGGACAGAAGGTGGATTACCCCTCCCATTGAAGGGTCCAGAGGCCCAGCCCAAGAAGGACAGCAATAGAGTTGGGAGGAAGATGGCAACAAGAATGTGTTCAGCAGAAGCATCCCAACAGGGTCTTGGGATGGGACAGTCCTTAGGACAATGGTTCTCAACCTGTGGGTTCCTAGAAGTTTTGGTCTTCAACTCCCAGAAATCCTAACAGCTGGTAAACTGGCTGGGATTTCTGGGAGTTGCAAGCCAAAACACTTGGGAATCCACAGGTTGAGAACCACTGCCTTACGATTTTCTCTTCCAAAAGGCAGAAGGTGATTGAGAAGACTTCCTCCCCTTTTGCCCAAGATCCTGGTTCAAAATCTGCTATCAGTAACCAGATGAATGAGGAGACTGAAGCTCCCCGCCCCCAATGTTCATAGTTGTCTTTGTCCTGGGAACGTATCTCCTTCTATGTCCCACCACGGAGTTTAAGATCCTCTGGGGAGGCCCTGCTCTCGTCCCCACCTTTATCACAAGTGAGACTGGTGGGGACGAGGGACAGGGCTTTCTCAGTGGTGGCCCCTCGCCTGTGGAATTCCACTCCCCGGGGAAATCAGGTCGTCAACATCCCTCCTCTCCTTTAGAAGGAAGCTGAAGACATGGATATGGGACCAGGCATTTGGGTAATCTGGCAGATCAAAAAGGTAATGATGACTAGAGTTGGAAAGGACTATGGTAATGCTAAATGGATTGACGGATTTTAGAACTCGATGAACGCGGGCTATAGAGCAGTTTTAGATTTTGTATTAATTGTATGTTTTTAACTATTGTGTTATTGCATTTTATTATAATTGTTGGCATCGAATTGTGCCGGATGTAAGCCGCCCTGAGTCCCCCCTAGGGGGTGAAAAGAGGGGTAGAAATGCCCGAAATAAATTAATAGGACAACCCTACAACCCTTTTCCAGCTTCCATCTTGCTCTGTTATGACCAGTGTGAATGCATTTTGGTCCTGGGATGCTCATTTGACCAAGAGGCTATAGCAACTGAGGAAGCAAGAAGGCAAAAACATTTTTAATTGCTTTGGAATCTGTCTCAAAAAGTATAAGGTTTAGAAAGTGAGCATTCAATGTGTTGTCAAAGGCTTTCATGGCCGGAATCACTGGGTTGCTGTGAGTTTTCCGGGGTGTCTGGCCATGTTCCAGAGGCATTATCTCCCGACATTTTGCCCACAGGCTTTGAAGCTGCAAGGCTATTCAGTGCTAATCAAGCTGGCCAATTGCAACATTCACACCTGCCTCAAACAGACAAGAGTTATTTCTCTCACCCTGGACATTCCACAGATGTGGGCAAAACATCAGGAGAGAATGTCTCTGGAACATTGCCATACAGCCCGGAAAACTCACAGAAACCAAGTGAGTGCTGTTTTTATTTTAAAGAGAGAAATTGTCAAACAAAATCTCAGCAGATTTTGAACCAGAATGAATGGCCATCTTGTGTTGGCATAACAAATCTGGGGACATATTCAACATGGCACACTTTCTCGTGGGTTTGTTGCTGCTCTTGTATCTCAAATAGCTGGAGGTTTCCATTGCAGTTCACTTCCTGAGCAACATATGCTGCCTTTATCTCCATGAGGATGAAGATCTGAATTTGCACAGGAGAGTTTCTAATTTTGTAAAGAGGTTCCCTGATTTGTTTTTAAAAGTACATGAACTACAAGCATATTAGGAGCAACTGTACATATATTGCTGTTCTGCCTAGAGAGGTGGTTGAAGGATTGGGACTGTTTAGTTGGATTGCCTGCATTGAGCAAGGGGTCAGACTCAGTGACTCATGAAGCCCCCCCCCCCCATGCTATGATTCTATGATTCTTATCTGATTGAGCAGGAAGCTTAGAGTGAAAGTCTTTGCACCATACAAACTGTTTAAGGCAGGGATCCTCAAACTAAGGCCCCCCGGATACGGCCCTCCAAGGTCATTTACCCAGCCTTCGCTCAGGGTCAACCTACATCTGAAACTACTTGAAAGCACACAACAACAACAACAATCTTATCTCATCAGCCAAAAGCAGACCCACACGCCCCCTTTGAAATACTGATGAGTTTATATTTGTTAAAATTGTTCTTCATTTTAATTATTGTACTGTTTTAAAGTGTTTTTTTTTTGCACTACAAATAAACTATGTGCACTGTGCATAGGAATTCATTCATGTTTTTTTTTAAAAAATTATAATCCAGCCCTCCAACAGTTTGAGGGACTGTGACCTGGCCCTTTGTTTAAAAAGTTTGAGGACCCCTAGTTTAAGGAAACCATTTGAATATCAATGATACAATTAACCAGAGGCAATTGTATCATTGATTCCTTGGTATGGCGGCACCTTGGAGAAGAAAAGATGCATTCATCACAACGTGGTGAATATGGAGAATTGGTGTGGAGTGGCGGTTTCGGTGTTGAATTTTAAAGCAAGGTGATCCAGGTTCCAGACTTACCGAATAATTTTCATTCCATCTAAACCAGTGCTTCCCAACCTGTGAGTCCCCAGATGTTTTGGCCTTCAACCCCCAGGAATCCTAACAGCTGGTAAGTTGGGATTTCTGGGAGTTGTTGGCCAAAACACCTGGGGATCCAGAGGTTGAGAACCACTGGTCTAAACCTACCTCATAGGGATGTAGTGTTGCATCACACCAAATATTACATCTTCCAGTTCTTTTAATACCTTTGGATATACTTGGTTCATCTTCCCTAGAGGCTTTAATTCATTTAGAATAGCCAGATATGCCTCTTTACCTTTTGTATACTGCATTTCCCTTACTGTTGTACTTCAGTCTTTGATTGTGTCTGCACCTGATCTTTCTGGGATTTCTGGGCCTGTTAGTCAGCCTGTTGACACAGGGGATTCTGGGTCTGCAAGAAAGTCAGCAGGAGCAGCTAGAGATTTTCGAGACTGAAAATGAGCAGTCTCTGTCTAAAGGCCACATTCCAACAGAAGAGGATGATAGTGAAAGTCCAGGTGGTCAGACTAATGAGCAATTAGATGGAAGATTTATGTTTCGTCAACATAGACTTTCACATGAAAAACTCCCAAGGTCAAGTTGCTTGTTAGTGAGGAAGTCTGTATCAGTTTCCCAAGGGAAAAGGCTCACTTTTCTCTCTATATTAGCTAGGCCAACTGAATCTTTAGTCAATGGAAGCAACATTGGAGATTGAGGATAGAACTCCTGTCAAATCAAGGGAATTTCTAGTGCCATGTTCATGTTTTCCTGTTTGTTCCTGTTTCAAGTGTTGAGGACTATCCTGAATTTCATGTTTAGGATTTATTCGGCTCTTGTGTTCATGGATTTTGGATGCTGCTCATTTACCTTGTTTTTTGTGGATTATCTCTGATTTTTGGACTTTGATTCTGATATTATTTTGCTGAATTGCTTTTTATGTATTGGTCAATAAACCTCTTGCTATTTTACCTTGGACTGGTGTGTGTATTAAGTGCTGAGGTGCTTCCCAGCTTTGGAGTACAACACCTACTGCATCATCTACTCTTGTTATCTCTAATTTCAGCACTGTTTTCCTTTCGGGAGAAGACTAAGGCAAAGAAAGTTTTGAGAAGGAACCGTTTGGCCTGTCTCTTGGAAACCTTTGCTCCTAATGCTCTGTATGCCTCTGACTTTTCTTTTTTTCCCCTTTAGGACTCGTACATTGATCCCTGACAGATGGCATGTTATGCTGCACTGGCTTTTGACCTTCTCTTTAGGTTCAGATGTAAAATACGATTAAGCATTGTTGATCGCATAACGATCTTGAGTCAATAAACAAACAGCTTTGCTGTGTATTAATTCTTTGAGCTCTGACCCACCCCAGGACTAAACAAGCAACTCGCAAATGGATTGCGATGCCATTCACAAGGAAAGTTCTTTTGAGATAAATTTTGGTGACAATCACAGACCTTCTCTCAGTTTTGTAACTGGCCAAGCGGTTTTCTCCCCTCCCTTACAGGATAGGGTTATTCTGTTTCTTGGATTATCTTGGTTTTTAATCATGCCCAATGCCTGTGACTCAAAGAAGATAACAGTTAAGGGTTTTAAAAGAAAGGGAAAGCATTTGACTGAAACATTGAGAGCTGGGGAATAGTGTAGGAAACATGAATTGGAGTAGTGAAGGCGGAGTACCTTTCTATTGACTAACCAGCTTCTGTTGACTAACCAGCTGTCTCCAAACTTTCTATTGACTAACCAGTTGTCTCCAAACTTTTTTTTCAATCTCTCAGTCCAGATCCTACCCTCTATATTTAATAATCACTCTAACACAGGGTTTCTCAACCTAAGGATTGGGACCCCTGGGGGGGGGGTCATGAGGGGGTGTCAGAGGGATTGCCAATGACCATCAGAAAACACAGTATTTTCTGTTGGCCATGGGGGTTCTGTGTGGGACGTTTGGCCCAATTTTATCCTTGGTAGGGTTTGGAATACTCTTTGAGTGTAGATGAACTATAAATCCTAGCAACTACAACTCCCAAATGTCAAGGTCTGTTTCCCCCAAACTTCACCAGTGTTCACATTTGGGCATATTGAGTATCAAACTATGATGGATTTGATCCAGATCCATCATTGTTTGAGCCCACAGTGCTCTCTGGATGGAGGTGAACTGCGACTCCAACACTCAAGGTCAATGGGAGATCTGTGTGCCAAGTCTGGTTCAGTTCCATCATTGGCGGAGTTCAGAATGCTCTTTGATTCTAGGTTAACTATAGATCTCCGCAATCCCATCCGAATGACAAAATCAATCCTCTCTCAACCTTACCAGTATTCAAATCTGGGCGTATTGCGTATTTGTGCCAAATTTGATCCAGTGAATGAAAATGCATCCTGCATATCAGATATTTATATTGTGATTCATAATAGTAGCAAAATTACAGTTATGAAATAGCAACGAAAATAATGTTATGGTTGGGGTCACCACAACATGAGGAACTGTATTAAGGGGTTGCGGCATTCAGGAGGTTGAGAAACACTGTTCTAACAGGTATAAGGTATCTCAAATGGGCGTTCACAGCACCTCTTAACCATCTTTCCTCCAGACTAAATAAAGGCCGGGATCGTGTTGGTATCTTACGCAGGCGTAAGTCCCCCTCCAGAAGTGAATGGATTTGTTTGGAAGTGCGGCACTCAGCTCCAGGTTCCCGAAGTGGAGTGGCGCATGGAGTGCCAATTGCGCATGGGTGCCATTGCGCACGGCCCATGGGTTGTGTTGCATTTTGTGCATGGGATGCGCATGGATGTGCATGCATTGCTCTGCATGCAGATATTGAAGGGCTTGTCCAGACTCGCAAGAAGGACTTATGCAACCAGCTATCTTTCATGTTGCTTTCTCTGCTTCCTAGCACATTTTCCAAAAAATAAAATTAAAATGCATGATCTCATTAGTTGTTGCACTGATCGAGATCACCCTGTATGTCCATACTAAACGCACACAAGAGACTCTTCTGGCATCTTAAATTGAACAGGGACTTCTCACAATCTCAATCCCTTACCCCGTTTTCTTCTTTCCACCACTTCTCCCCTTCCCAACAGAACAATTTTCCAAAATAGTGGAAGGAGAGAGCATATATATCATTATATACAGAAGCAGGGTAAAGGGAACAGAAGTTCATCCAGAAAGTATTTTATTTTTTAAAAAATCCATACCACTTATAGTGGAGGCTTCTTCTTTGGAGGCTTTGAAACAGAGGCTGGATGGCCATCTGTCGGGGGTGCTTTGAATGCAATTTTCTTGCTTCTTTGCAGAGGGTTGGATTTGATGGCCCATGAGGTCTCTTCCAACTCAATGATTCTGTTTCTATAATAGGAACAAAAGGACTTGGGAAAGGAGGGGGGAAAGCCCGAAAGGTCCTGGAATTATCTGTACAGTCTTTGGATCTTGGAAGCAGAAGTCCTAATTGCGGGCCTAAAAAATATAATATATCAGGCCAGTCTGGATGAGCCCTTACTCTATGCAGCCCTGGAATGGGATCTCAGAACTCTCTCTAGGATTTTTTTTCCAGGTTGACTCCTCATGTGCTTATTTGGTTTCTTCTTTCTTTCTTTTTTTACTCAATTTGGTTGGATTTTGCATAGATTGCACATCTCTTTTATTATATCATACCCCCTTGTCCTGGTTTCTTATTTGCACCCATCTCTTTATTGGATTGTTTTTTGAATTGCTGCATTTATAAATCGCTGCCGTCTGTTAATGTATTGTTATTTTGTTCTCAAAATACCTGTATTTCTTTGATTCTGAGACACCATCGAGTATTAGACACACACTGATTTCAGTACCACTAACAGTTCTATATCGGGGGCCATGGTGGCACAGTGGTTTAAACCGCTAAGATGCAGAACTTGCTGACTGGAAGGTCGGTGGTTCAAATCTGCGGGATGGGGTGAGCTCCTGGTGTTAGCCCCAGCTTCTGCTAACCTAGCAGTTTGAAAACATGCAAATGTGAGTAGATCAATAGGTACCACTTCTATGAGAAGGTAACAGCGCTCCATGCAGTCACACCAGCTACATGGCCTTGGAGGTGACCACGGACAATGCCAGCTCTTCGGCTTAGAAATGGAAATGAGACCAACTTCCCAGAGTTGGACTCGACTAGACTTAATGTCAAGGGGAAACCTTTACCTTTACCTTTTAACAGCTCTATCTGTATGTATAAAAAAGCACCCGGGATTCTAAGGCACACCCAGTTTTTAGAGACGTTTATATGAAGGGGGAAGTGACCTTGGAATTGAAGAAATATGGTAGTTGAACAGTGCCCTAGACCGGTACTTTTAATCCAGTTGATGTATTAGGACTATCAGATCTTTTTCTCCAAGGTTCAGCTCTAAATTTATACCCACTGACTTCAACTTTCTTAGAAACTCTCTAAAGACTCCTATGAATAGCACTGACCTAGGGTGTATCTACATTATACAACTGATACAGCTTTAATTGCCAGGCTTTGGAATCCTAGGAGTTGTAATTTGGTGAGGCCCCATGGTGGCACAGCGGGTTAAACCACTGAGCAGCTGAACTTGCTGATCGAAAGGTTGGCGGTTCTAATCCGGGAAGTGGGGTGAGCTCCTGCTGTTAGATCCAGCTTTTGTCAACCTASCAGTTCGAAAACATGCAAATGTGAGTAGATCAATAGGTACCACTCCAGCAGGAAGGTAACGGCGCTCCATGCAGTCATGTCACCCACATGACCTTGGAGTTGTCTATGGACAACACCAGCTGTTCGGCTTAGAAATGGAGATGAGKACCACCCCCCAGAGTTGGACACAACTAGACTTACTGTCAGGGAAACCTTTATCTTTGCTTTTTACAGCATAATTTAGCAGAGAAGGTGAAGACCTTCAAAAACAACCATTGAGCCATGGTAGATAAAGTGATTTCTGGMAGRACCCTTTCTCCCTACTACAAAGATCATGAATCAAAGAATGAATCAAATTTTTACTTTAGGTACAATATCTATATCTATCTATCTATCTATATATATATATATATTCTCTTCATAGTGAAAATGAAAAGAAGTTGAGATTTTTGTGGGGCAGGGGACAGAAAGTGGGAGAAATTGAAATGAACAGATCTGTGCATATACGTTCAGAACTTTGAATGGCTCGTCTCACAAAGTCCGGCTTTGAATKTGTGRGTTTTCTGTTTGTGTTGCTGAATTACATTGCCACCTATCTTTTTTTTTCCTTTTTCAAAAATCTTTGTTTTTCACCAAGAGGCTCCTCATATTTGACACCTATATAGCAATTAGAGACAATGCAATGGTCCTCTCCATGCTGGGAATAATTATACCTACTAAATGTAGCTGTCGCAAATGGGGGTGATTTTTTTTCCAGTTGATTTTTAAAGAGTTGACCAAATCTCACATTTCTTCCTACCTGGGAATGAGTAGTTTAAAAAAATCAAAATATGGTTTTTAAAATTATTATTATTATTATTATTATTATTATTATTATAATATCGCTTTTTTCCTCTTAAAGAGACACAAAGCAATGAACAGTGGTTAAAAAAGTACAAGTAGGAAGAAGCTGAGTGTCAAAGTAAATACCAAAGGGAATGTGTATTCTCTGTTTTTCCTCCCACAATGGGATGTCCTCAGATATGTGCCTCAGAAATCAGACTTTGCACATCAAACCCTCCAGTGACCAGTCAGAAAACAAAGCATGGTAATGCAAGATACATTGTTGAGGAAATGCATTATGCTGTGATAAACAAATGTCTTTTGCAGTTTCCCTGAAAAATAAAAAATATATATCTAAGTCCAGTTTTCACATTCATTCCTCTTTTGCTTCTTTTGCAGGTTTTACTGGGACTTGATCATGTTGCTGCTGATGGTGGGGAATTTGATCATCTTGCCAGTCGGTATCACCTTTTTCAAAGACGAGAACACCCCGCCTTGGATCGTCTTTAACGTCCTCTCTGACACCTTCTTCCTGGCCGATCTGGTCCTGAATTTCCGTACTGGCATTGTGGTGGAAGACAACACTGAGATCATCTTGGATCCGCACACCATCAAGATGAAGTATCTTAAGACCTGGTTCCTGGTGGACTTTGTTTCCTCCATCCCGGTGGACTACATCTTCCTCGTTGTAGACCTGGAGACCCAGGTGGATTCCGATGTCTACAAGACGGCGCGGGCCCTGCGCATCGTCCGCTTCACCAAGATCCTCAGCCTGCTACGTCTCCTCCGGCTCTCCCGTCTCATCCGTTACATCCATCAGTGGGAAGAGGTGGGTCTGGCACCAGCCCCATCTTGGAAATCTTTTAAAAAGTGTTTAGTTACCATTGTAATTCCAGGGCTTCAAAGTGGCTGTACAATTTTGAAAGGAACTATTTTAATTAATGTTAGTTATTTTCGGACGTATGGCATAAATACTTTTTGAACCTTAAAAATGTCCTTTAATTCATTTTTTTGGGTCAGAATGTTAGATACTTTCAGAGAAAGAAGTAGACACACAGACTCCAATACTAATTTTAATAATAGTCTAGCTTGGGTACCCATCATTGCCCGGGTTATTTGAAAAAAAATTCAAAATGCATAAGGTTGTGGGTGAACTAAAACTCTCATCATGCCAGGTTAACCTCAAAATACTCCTTCAATACTTAAAATTTGTTATGTTAGGCAAGTATGCTCTAGATGCATCATCAGTGTGCTCTCTGGCTATAAGGTAAACTACAACTCCCAAGCGTCTAGGACTGTGTGATGTATTTTCAAATGATGCACGCAGATCCAAGTAAGGTGGCCTTTTGCAGTTGACAGATCGTGATTTTGTCGATATTTATTGTTTCCAAATGCCAGCTGAGATCTTTTGCCACGGCACCCAGTGCACCAATGACCACTGGGACCACCTGGACTGGTTTATGCCAGAGCCTTTGCAATTTGATTTTGAGGTCTTGATAGCAGCTGAGTTTTTCCAGTTGTTTTTCCTCAATGTGACTGTCACCTGGTATGGCAACATCAATAATCTAGACTTTTTCCTTTTCCACAATCATGATGTCTGGTGTATTGTGTTCCAAAACTTTGTCAGTCTGGATTCGAAAGTCTGGATTCGAAAGTCCCACAGTATTTTTGCATGTTCATTTTCCACAACCTTCGCAGGTTTATGATCCCATCATTTCTTTGCTGCTGGCAGATGGTACTTGTGACATAAGTTCCAGTGAATCATCTGGGTCACTGAATTGTGTCTTTGTTTGTAGTCTGTGCAATTTTCTTGCAACAGCTGAGGATATGGTTCATTATTATTATTGGTTATGATGGCTTGCTCTTCAGGGTTCCATTCGTGAGCCATAACCAGGTCTTCTCCTTGTCAACTTTTCCTTCAGTCTTCTCAAGGAACTTCCCATGCAATGCCTTGTTGTGACAGCTGTCAGCTCTGGTTTGGAGTGCAGTTTTCTTGTACTGACTCTTTGTCTGCTGTGCTTTGAGAAGTTTCCGATTATTGACTTCAGTTAAAGCAGGTTCTTGGCTTTCCTTGACATACTCTGCCAGGGCATCGTGTTTTTCTTCTTCGACTGCTGGTTTTACTTGTAAAAGTCCTCTGCCACCAGACTTTCTTGTAAAAGTCCTCTGCCACCAGACTTTCTAGGTAGATAGAGCCGGTCAACATCACTGCGATGATGTAATAAATTATGAATGGTCATGAGTTTTGTAGTTTTTCTGTCCAAATTGTCCAGTTCTGCCTGCTTCCAGTTAATGATGCCAGCAGTATATCTTATGACAGGTATGGCCCAGGTGTTTATGGCCTTGATAGTATTACCTCCATTGAGCTTGCTTTTGAGAATTTTTCTGACCTTTTGAATGTATTCTTTAATAATAATAATAGTAATAATAATAATAATAATTTTATTTAGTGGTATTATTATTATCACTAACTACCTCACCTTGCACTCCATTGATCCAGATTTTCCACATGACTTATGACCTGGCCAGTGCCGTGGTGCGAATCTTCAACCTTATTGGGATGATGCTTCTGTTGTGCCACTGGGATGGGTGCTTGCAGTTCCTGGTGCCCATGTTGCAGGACTTCCCCGAGGACTGCTGGGTCTCCATCAATCACATGGTGGTGAGTGTGCGGATGAGAGAGCGATGCTTTTGCTTCTCGATGGGTTAGTGTGCATCAACATTATTACAAATATTGTGTATAAAATGCCTTTCATTGCATATAACGTATATATAAAAGATAAATGTGTTTGGGTTAGTGTCCCATCTTCATGATGTATACATACATAAATCCATTCCAAGATCTGAAATCCAAAACACTTGTCTGAAGATAATTTCTAACCATTATCAATAACCTTTTGTTGTTGTTGTTGTGTCAGGAGTGACTTGACATAGACACATGCATGAATATTCTGTTCACACGACTGTTTTGAGCTGAATCCGCTCTTTCTCCTCCCTATAGAATGACTCTTGGGGAAAGCAGTACTCGCATGCCTTGTTCAAGGCCATGAGCCACATGCTGTGCATTGGATATGGACAACAGGCACCGGAGGGCATGACTGATGTCTGGCTGACCATGCTGAGCATGATTGTGGGTGCCACTTGCTACGCCATGTTCATTGGCCATGCCACAGCGCTCATCCAATCACTGGACTCCTCTCGGCGGCAGTACCAAGAGAAGGTGAGCGGGGAGCCATGGGGTTGCCCAGTTCTCAGCACAGAGCAGCAACTGTCTTGTTAAGCAAAGCAAATCCAGCTTTGGTTAGGCCTGCAGCAGTGTCAGTTTTTATGCACATGAGAATGGAAGAATTGCCATGCTAGACCACAAGCTTTTGTTATTGTTATGTTATATTATCATCATCATCATCATCAAGAATTCTGAGAATTCTAGTTTGAGGTGGAGACTGTTTCCTGGGTTTTTAACCCTGGTTTCAAAGAAATATTAATGCTGTAACAACTTAGCTTTGTGGTGAGAGCCACTTTGAGGACATTTCCTTGGGCTAGAATGTATAACATAGCCTCCTCCTCCTTCTTATTAACCTAAAGAATCCTGAGAGTTATAGTTGGAGGTGGAGACTGTTTCCTGGGTTTTTAACCCTGGTTTCAAAAAATATTAATGCTGTAATGACATAACTTTGTTGAGAGCCACTTTGAGGACATTTGCTTGGGCTGGAATGTGTAACGTACCCTCATTTAATTTGTATAACATCTTCCTTCTAATGTTTCTGCCTGCACAGGTGGTTTATAATAACCAAAACCATTTTTAAAAGCAATTAAATATAAGAAATGTGTCACTTAGTAAAGGTAAAGGTTTCCCCTGATATTAAGTCTACTCGTGCCTGACTTTGCGTGGTAGTGTTCATCTCAATTTCTAAGCCGAAGAGCCAGTGTTGTCCATAACAACAACAACTACTACTACTACTACTACTACTTTATTTTTATACCCCGCCTCCATCTCCCCTGGGGCAGCTTACAAAGGGACATGCCCAACAAAACAGGTTAAAATAAGCATTCAAAAACAAGCAATATCAAACATCAATAAACATAAAATCAGACAACATTATAAAAACAATTAAAACCAATATCATGTGGCTGGCATGAAAGCATGGAGCACCATAACCTTCCCACAGAAGCAGTACCTATTGATCTATTCACACTTTTATGTGTCACTTAGTTGTATATTTATTGTGTACTAGCTGTCCCCTGCCATGCGTTGTTGCTGTGGCCCACTCTGGTGGTCATGGGGGTTCTGTGTGGGAGGTTTGGCCCAATTCTATCGTTGGTGGGGTTCAAAATGCTCTGTGATTGTAGCTGAACTACAAATCCCAGCAACTACAACTCCCAAATGTCAATATTCTATTTTCCCCAAACTCCACCAGTGTTCACATTTGGTCATATTGAGTATTTGTGCAGAATTTGGTCCAGATCCATCATTGTTTGAGTCCACAGTACTCTCTGGATGTAGGTGAACTCCAAAACCAAAGGACACAGCCCACCAAACCCTTCCAGTATTTTCTGTTGGTCATGGGAGAACTGTGTGCCAAGTTTGGTTCAGTTCCATCGTTGGTGGGGTTCAGAATGCTCCTTGATTGTAGGTGAACTATAAATCCCAGCAACTACAACTCCCAAATGACAAAATCTTTTTTTTAGTGAAGGACATACATTGGGTTGTTAGGTGTCATGTGTCCAAATCTGGTGTCAATTCAGTGGTTTTTGAGTTCTGTTAATCCCACAAACGAACATGACATTATTATTTATATAGATGGGCTTATTATTAACTGTTGAGTCGCCAGCTCTTTGCCATTAATTGCTACTTCTTTGTCCCCCTTTCTAGTACAAACAAGTGGAGCAATACATGTCCTTCCACAAATTGCCAGGAGACACTCGCCAACGGATCCATGAGTACTATGAACACCGGTACCAAGGGAAGATGTTTGATGAGGAGAACATCCTGGGGGAGTTGAGTGAGCCCCTCAAAGAGGTACGAGTCTGGGAAAGAGCCCAATCTTTCCACAAATACACACATACAAACACTGTCCACTCATATTGACTGATTCCCTTCCCCGTCATATTCCTGTAGGAGATAATCAACTTCAACTGCCGCAACCTAGTGGCCAACATGCCCCTTTTCGCCAATGCGGATCCCAACTTTGTGACGGCCATGTTGACCAAGCTGCGCTTTGAGGTCTTCCAGCCGGGGGACTTCATCATCCGAGAGGGCACCGTGGGCAAGAAAATGTTCTTCATCCAACACGGCGTGGTCAGCATTCTCACCCGCGGCTCCAAGGAAATGAAGCTCTCCGATGGCTCCTACTTTGGGGGTAGGTTTTGAGAACAGAAAGAACACTGGGGTGGCATTTCAAGGTTTCAGTGTGGCCTTATGGATTTCATCAGCAGTCTGTCCAGAAAAGGAAGGGAGGGAGATATGCATAGCTCCCATTCAGAAAGAAGGAGGATATTCACCTTACCACTTTATAGGGTTCTATGGTGCAGGGCAATTTGTAGGAGTGGAGATATTAATAATAATTTGTTTTTATATGTTGGGTTGCCAATTTTTGTTATTGTAGATGTATTGTTGTGTTTGTCCATTGAATGCTTGCCTTTTATGTCTAGAATCCTCCCTGAGTCCCCCCGGGGAGATAGGATGGAACATAAATAAAGTTTACTACTCCAGGGGATTAAAACACTGATAGTTGGCATCTACAGCCCTACAGTAGCTGTATCAAAAATTTTATCAACAAATTTTCTTAAGAAAACATGATATTGCTGGGAGATTGGAATGGAGTGATGTCACCAAAATGACACAGACTTTCTGAGGGGAAAAAAATCAAAAGAGACCCAAGGCAAATTTCCTAAATCCCTTTTTAAAAAATTAATGGACAATCTTACACTCCAAGATGTCTGGAGATACAAAATGGCTAAGCAAAAGAATATTCCCCTTTCTCATCAAGACATAATTCATTTTCTAGGATTTATATGGTTCTGATATCTAAATCTATGAGTCATAACATTAAAAGTATGTCGACATCGAGTTGCTGTGAGTTTTTTGGGCTGTATGTCCATGTTCGAGTAATATTCTCTCCTGACATTTCACCTGCATCCGTGGCTGGCATCTTCAGAGGTTCTGTTGGCAATGAAGCAAGTGGAGTGTGTGTATGTGTGTGTGTATATATATATATCTGTGGAATATCCAGGGTTGGAGAAAGAACCCTTTTCCACTGAAGCAAGCGTGAATGTTGAAATTAGCGAGCTTGAATAGCATCAAGTATCCATGAAGCTGCAAAGTCAGTCAGTGAGGGTATCTGCATAAAGTTTAGCCTGGGCTTTGTTGCCTGGAGGTATCCTCTGTTTTGGGTGGTGTTAACTGGCACTTGATTGTTTCCTGTCTGGAGTTCTCCGGTTTCTGAATGTTGTTCTTTATTTACTGTCTTGGTTCTGGTGTTTTTTAAAATACTGGTAACCAGATTTTGTTCATTATCATGGTCAACATGTCAACATTCTTCCTCCACAATTTTGGATCACAATCCAGTTTAGTTAGTACTATCTATTGATCGTGTCAGAAGTGAGTTGAGGGTACAGTTAAAATGCATTTTAAAACACAAAGTTTTAAAAACTTGGCATTATGCTAAATGTCCTTTGACCAGAAGCTGGCCACTTGGGAGCGCCTCTGGTGTTGCTGTGAGAAGGTCCTCCATTGTGCACGTGGCAGGGCTCAGATTGCATTGTAGTAGGTGGTCTGTGGTTTCTTCTTTGCACTCGCATGTTGTGGACTCCACTTTGTAGCCCCATTTCTTAAGGTTTGCTCTGCATCTTGAGGTGCCAGAGCAGCCTGTTCAGTGTCTTCCAGGTTGTTCACTCTTCTGTGTGCCTAGGACGGAGTTTCTTATCCTGTCTCAGCCACTGATTGAGGTGCTGGGTTTTAGCCCTTAGCCGAGTTACAGAAAGAATTGAAGCCAGTAAAATGTCTTTCTGAACAAATCTTGCCCATAATTGGTATTGTCATAAATTGGAAATGATTCAAAAGTAGCTTTTGGTTGCTTGTGGTGTTTAGAGCAGACTTCCGGAGCCTTACCAAAATAGAGACTGTGATACTCTTCTCTCCATTTGCTCCCACAGAGATCTGCCTCTTGACCCGTGGCCGGCGCACAGCCAGTGTGCGTGCCGACACCTATTGCCGCCTCTATTCGCTTTCAGTGGACAACTTCAATGAAGTCTTGGAGGAGTACCCTATGATGCGCCGGGCTTTTGAAACTGTGGCCATGGACCGACTTGACCGTATAGGTGAGGAATGGAGTGAGGGAATAGGGGGAAGGAAATGTGGCATTGAGAGAGTGCGGCATCAGGTGCCACACAAATTCACCCACTGGAATCAGACTGAAAATAGTATGGGTGGCATAGGTGAAAATAGTGATAACTAGGAAGTAATTAGATGCATAATTGAAGGGAATAAGGCCACAACAGAATGCATGAGATGAAAAATTAGTCCAACATCATTGCCGACCTCCCAGTAGGAAGAGCTTAGTTAACATCACTGGACAATCTGAGGTCCATATTTCTCCATCAGTCTTCAAACCGTCTTAGACTCCTGCCAAAATAAAAGTGTATCTTGTCAGCAAAACAAAACAAGTTTCAGTCTTAGCTACTGAGAGCAAGGCAGCCTCAAGCCTCTTGGGTTCCCAATCCAGCTCCCTGGGCTTCTCCACCTTTCCTATTAAGCCACTATTTTTGAATGAGATTATGATTGGTATTTTGTTATTATCACTATACTAGCTTGGGTACCTGGCATTGCCCGGGTTATTTGAAAAAGTCATTTTTAAAAATGGTACAAAATGCATAAGGTTGTGAGTGAACTACAACTCACATAATGCCAGGTTAACCCTGAGAAACACCATCAGTCCTTAAAGTTTGTTATGAAGGGCAAATTTGCTCTAGATGCATCATCGGTGGGGTTCAGTGTGCTTTCTAGCTGTAGGGTAAACTACAACTCCCACCATGGTGAGTCAGTCCCCTCAAACCCTCCAGTAGGTTGAGTTAGTCATGGGCTTCTGTGTGCCAATTTTGGTCCAGGTCCATCATGGGTGGTGGTCACAGTTTCTTTGATTGTGTGTGAACTACAACTCCCAGAAAGAAAGCTCACTTCCCCCCCCCCCCCCCAACCCCTCCAGTAATCAAATTTCAGCATATCAGGTATGTGTGCCAAGTTTGGTCTAGATCTATCAGTTTTTGCGTTCACAGTGCTTTCTGGATGTAGGTGAATTACAGCTCTCCCAAATCAAGGTGAATTTCCCCCAAAGTCTTCCAGTATTTTTTGCTGGTCATGGGGTCTCTGTGTGCCAAGTGTGGTCCAATTCCGTCTTTGGTGGAGTTCAGAGTTCTCATTGATTGCAGGTGAACTATATATCCCAGTACCTTAAACTCCAAAATGTCCAGGCCAATTCCCCTCAAAACCCACCAATATTCAAATTTGGACATGCCAAGTTTGATCCAGATCCATCATTGCTAGGGTTCATAGTGTGCTCTGGATGTAAGTGAATGACAACTCCTATCAGTCTCTCCAAAGACCTCCAGTATTTTTGTTGATCATGGGGCTTCTGTGTGTCAAGTTAGTTCCAGGTCCATCATTCGTGGAGTTGAGTGCTCTTAGATTGCAGGTAAACGATACATCTCAGTACCTACAATTCATGGTGAATTCTGCCCAAACCTCTCTTGTATGTTCAGTTGCTGATCAATTCCTCTGTTTGCTGTGTGCCATAGAAAAGAATCGGAAAGGGTTAAGGGAGAGGCAGTGGGTGAGATAATTCCACGCCAACTGAGTCAGAAACAGTGGGATGTCCGTGGTGGAGGAATTTTATGTATGTTATATGCTTTTAACTGTTTCTATATTATTGTGGCATCAAATTGTGCCATTTTGTAAACCGCCCTGAGTTGCCCTCGGGCTGAGAAGGACCGTATAGAAATATAATAAATAAATAAATAAACAGAAGAGTTCCCTGCTCTCAGGATGACAGTTGAGAAAGCAGTTACAACCTATTGGGAATTACTGTATATACTTGAGTATAAGCCTAATTTTTCAGCCCCCTTTTTAGGCTGAAAAAGCTCCCCTCGGCTTATACTTGAGCCAAGGTTATTTATTATTTTACTCTGTTATTAGTATTATTTTTATTATATTTATGTTATTACTCTATTATTGTATTGTCGAAGGCTTTCATGGACTAAAGGATCATGGGTTGTTGTAGGTTTTTCCGGGCTATATGGCCATGTTCTGGAGGCAATTTTTCTCCTGACGTTTCGCCTGCATCTATGGCAAGCATCCTCAGAGGTAATGAGGTCTGTTGGAACTGGGAAAAATGGGTTTATATATCTGTGGAATGACCAGGGTGAGACAAAGGACTTTTGTTTGCTGGGGCTAGCTGTGAATGTTTCAGCTGATCACCTTGATTTGCATTCAATGGCTTGGAAGCGCCTGGGGGGAATCTTTTGTTGAGAGTGATTTCATGTGCCTGTTTGTTTCCCCTCTGTTGTTTTGCTGCTGTAATTTTTGAGTTTTTTTAATACTGGTAGCCAGATTTTGTTCATTTTCATAGTTTCTTCCTTTCTGTTGAAATTGTCCACATGCTTGTTGATTTCAATCTATTATTATTGATATTATTACATTTACATTATTTTACTCATTGTTTTTATTACATTTATTATTTAACTCTATTTATTATTGTTCAAGGAGCTCCACTGGCTGCCATTCATCTACCGGACCCAATTCAAGGTGCAGGTTCTTACCTACAAAGCCCTGAACGGTTTGGGACCCGCCTACCTGCGTGACCGCATCTCTATATGAACCCACACGATCCCTTCGATCATCTGGAGAGGCCCTGCTCTCGATCCCACCAGCATCGCAGGCGCGATTGGTGGGGACGAGAGAGAGGGCCTTTTTGGTGGTGGCCCCTCGACTCTGGAACACACTCTGTAAAGGCATCAGACAGGCTCCTACTTTGGCAGTCTTCAGGAGGAGCTTGAAGACGTGGCTGTTCCAGTGTGCCTTCCCAGAATAATAATCCCATAGCACTTTGTCCTCCGAAGCACTTTACATTTCTCTAGATCTGCTCATATGCCCTTTCACAAACACCACTATCTCCTTTCATCCACGTCCCAACATTATTTCCAATTTTAACTTTACATTTGGCCTTCCCACTGTTTTTAATTGTGTGTTGTCTTATTGATAAGGTTGTATATTTTTATTGTCTGTGTCTTTATTTTTTAATTGCTTGTATTGTTGTTTATTGCCTGTATTGTTGTATTTGGGCTCGGCCTCATGTAAGCCGCACCAAGTCCCTTGGGGAGATGGTAGCGGGGTACAAATAAAGTGTTATTATTATTATTAGTGTTATTGTTATTAAATGTATTATTTTGCTCTCTTTATTATTATTGAAAGGATACGTAAGCACATTTACATTGAAGGAGGCTAGAATAATGGTTTCATCAGAGCTGGACAGTCTTACATTACAGTTTTATGCAAATATTCAAAAACATTTAACCTACTGGTACCTCAATTAATGTAATTTTATTGGTATCTAGTTTTATTTTGAAATTGACCAGTAGCTGCTGCATTTCCCACTCTCGGCTTGTATTCGAGTCAATACATTTTCCCAGTTTTTGTGGTAAAATTAGGTGCCCCGGCTTATATTCGGGTTGTCTTATACTCGAGTATATATGGTAGTTACTTACAGCCAGTCCTGTGTTTCCGTAGAATCCCACAGACTCCTCTGTTCTTCTGTGCGATGTCTCCTTTTTCATTCTCTTTCCCCCTTCCTGTAGGTAAGAAGAACTCCATCCTGTTGCGGAAGCGTGCTGAGCACAGCTCCAGCACCATCAACAACGAAATCATCCAGCAGATAGTCAAGCATGACCAGGACACAGCCCACAACATCCAGGACCTCCCACCGGTGATAACAGGGCGAGAACTCAGTGGAAAGCCTGTGATCTGGGAGCCCTTGGTCCACGCTCCACTCCAGACGGCCGCTGCCACCACCAATGTGGCCATTGCCTTGACGCACCAGCAGAGCCTTGCGGCTCACATCTTCCTGCCCCCTTCCTCTGTCTCCAGTCCTCTCTCGCCGGACGCCGTCCTCATCCCTCGCCACCCCCGGCGCTCCCAACCAAGCCTCGGTGGCTCCCGGCCTTCCTCGGTCAGCTCTCCTCTCTCGGGGGCCCCGTCCCATTTACAGACACCGGCAGCTGGGTCCCCGTCCTCTCCCATGGTCCAGTCTGGGTCGCCCTTGGAAAGCACTGGGCCCAGGGGAGGCCCTTTGGGCGCGGCCATCCCTCGGCCGGTCCAGAAGGGAGATCCCCCAGTCCCAGGGGCCAGCCAGCCTCAGCTGTCCAAGTCCCGCGGCACTTCGGTCTCCACTTCGCTGCTGCAGCAGACGGCCACTGGCACCTCCTCAGTTCCACCTGGGCGGACTCTCCATTACAGCCTCTCTCGGGCCACCGGATCCCACATCTCCTTGTTTTTGCAGCCCCAGCAGCTGGTGAGGCACCGGAGCACGCAAGGTCTTCCAGTAGGCTGCCTCACCCAAGATGCACGGGTGCTTTCGGCCTCCCAGCCCTCCTTGCCGAACCGGCTCATGCAGCAGACGGACATGGGCTGCCCACAGCCAGCCAGGAAGTCCGCTGGGAACCTGACGCACCGCTCCTCCCCTTCGGTCCCAGGACTCTTGGCCAGGCCTCCTTCCGGCACTCCTGTTCCACCGCAGCCCGCGCCCTCGGGTTCCAGCCGCTCCATGAGTGGGGCCAGCACCCCGCAATCCCCGGCTTCCACTCCCCGACATCCCACTGCCCCATCCCGCAAGGGCTCTGTGGTATTCAGCCCTGATGTAGACATTGGGAAGCCTAAGCTCCCGTCCAACATGTGAGGCCACTGCCAGGCAGGCCTGCAGCTCCACATGTAGGAGGGAGAAACGCCAACCAGTCAGAAAAACAGGCCAGAAATGAGGACTGAGACCTAGAGCAGCACTGGCCCAGAAAGGGGGAGGAATGGGTCTCCAGTGGAAAAGGGGCAAAAGCCATTTCCCTACAGAAAGTGCTGAACGCTCCTTCCTTTCCAGCCACCCCACTGCATTAAATGCATCCTCCAAAGGCTGGAGGGGAGCCACGCTACCATCCCTTGTATCATCCTGATGGGAGGAATCTGCCCTTGTGTGGTAGTAGCCTCTGCTTCCGAAGAATGCGTCTGAGTTCCCCCAGGGCAACCTGCTTTTGGTGAAAGGGCAACAAGAAGGGAATGGCAAAGGGATAGATCTCCCAAAGGGAACCTAGAAAATTGAGCTGCTGTCGAACCCTTCTCCTTTGGAACAGCCTCTGTTGAAAACCCAACCCAGAAGCTGCCATCAATGTGATCAAAGGAGCCCGTGGTTCAGCGACAAAGTGCACCATGACTTCCAGCAAATGACTTTGAGGACACTCCTGGACAAGTGCTCCCACTATCTCCCCTTTCCCCTTTAGGAATATTTTGAACGAGAAATATTGTTTAGAGATATTTCTCTCCCTCTCTGACCCGGAATTTGTGCAATATGCATCTCCAGATGTCTTGTGTGAATGTGTGTAACAGTAGAAACCCTGGTTCAATGGGAGAAGGAAGAGAGCATCTGTTCATCCCCCAAAAGATATATATACGAGGGTTATCTGGAAAGTAAGGTTACAAGATTTTTTAAAAAAAATTACAAAGAATGAATATATTTTAATAAAACGTACATGGATTGTAGCATAGGCATTACATTATTTTTCCACATAATCACCATTCAGTTCAATACATTTTGTCATCCGTGGGATGAGTTTTTGATGCCTGTGTTATAAAAGTTTCCCTCCACATTTTTCAGCCGGTTCGTCACTTCGATTTTCATCTCATCGTCGTCGGAAAAGTGTTTTCCACCCAGATGTTCCTTCAATTGAATGGACAGATGATAGTCAATGGGTGCAGGATGGGGGCTGTGAGAGGGGTGGATTAAAACATCCCAACCAAATGAAGTCAATAGCGCATGTGCAAATGCGCATTGTCATGAAGGAGGCAGACTTCTGCCGTCAGCATCCCACGAAGTTTTTATTTATTTATTTATTTATTTATTTATTTATTTATTTACAGTATTTATCTTCCTCCCTTCTCACCCCGCAGGGGACTCAGGGCGGATTACAGTGTACACATATATGGCAAACATTTAATGCCAAGACACACAACAGATAGAGACAAACAGTCAGAGGCTATTTAACTTTTTCTGGCTGCCGGGGGAGCTGTCGCTTTCATTGTCCATCTGTGACACTGATGAAGTACTTCCGCATTCCCCGCATGTTTTTGCTGGAGTCTTTTTTATGGTCTCGTAAATTTTGTTAAATTAGTCTCCTCACACATAGGTGGTACCTAATTTTCCTACTTGACAGATGCAACTGTCTTTCGGGTTGCAAAGGTCGACAACAAGCTACACAATTAGTCGGAAGCTCACTCCGACCCAGGCTGGCTTTGAACTCATGACCTTGTGGTCAGAAGTGATCTTAATGCAGCTGACACTCAGACAGCTGTGCCACAGTCCCGGTTTTGGATGGCTCTTTGAAGTTTCTTCATTGTCTCACAATATATTCCATACCCATTTTGCCACATGCGGTCTTGACATTACGTCCTCTCCATCAACTGAAATGATTTTGTGATGAATTGCAGCAGTGTTCATTCCCTTAGCATTTAGATAGTATATTACGGTCCGAACTTTGCACTTGGGGGGAAACAGACTGAGGACGCTCATCTCTAACCTTCAGCACGCCAGTCAATGAGCTACTGACGACTGGCACTGCTCGTTTGCTTCCACTGGCTTCCTGCTGCACGGCAGTGATACAAACTTCCCTCAAGAAAATTCCCTGCGAGAGCTATGTGCCTTGTGACCTTACTTTCCGGATAACCCTCGTTATATATATTTATATTAGGTCTCTTATTCCCGGAGAAGTTGGGTCAATCAGACAAACGTGATCTTGCTACTACTGCCATATATCCAGCTTCTCTGCTAGGTTGAGGACATGGGGAATATCCCCCCTTCTTCCCAACCCTGGCTCAGTAAAGGCTGGTCTGCAGATTCCCCAAGGTGGACAAGGATGTCCTCAATCAGAATTATGTGTTTATGGGCATTGTGCAATTATAAAGGCTCATCAAGAAAAGGGTGGTGACTGCCCTTGGATTTATGAAGCCAAGCTGTATGAAAATGCTATAACCTTGGATATGTCCCCTGGTTCCTTTTGTATCTGATAAGGGTCCCTTTTGCAGAGGAAAAGAGGGGAAAATTAGTCTAGACTTACTCCCTGTCCTTACTGCCAATCCAGTGTGGATCCTTACTAGACAATGCCCATCACCAGCAACAAAGGGTCGTAACAGGGTAGCCAAATTCCCTCTGTCCAATCCCCTACTTGTGCCTAAACACTGCCATGTTGGAAAAGGGGTGTCTTTTGGGGTCCGGGACAGCCCTCTATCCAGGAAAAGCCAGCACCCCTTTTCCCCTATGGAAGACCTAGCGTCCTGCTCATCTTCTCCAGGAACCAGTAGTTTGCGACGTGCATTCGGTGTGGGCAATTTCACGTGAAAAAGGTGTTGCTTTCTGTTTTAGCCATGTTACCAATTTAGGGCGGATTAGCTGCCTGGGGTCTTCTCCCTTTCCGGACTCTCTTTTCCTTCCAATGGCTCTGCCACTGCACTGTAAAATGCTTTTCTCCCCATGTCTAGAGCCTTTTGGGGAGAGGGAAGCAAGGCATCTGGTCTAGAAAAGAAACAGTTGGCATTAGGACCAGCCTCCCCTTCCTCTTGAGTTGCTGCTAGACTCCCTGACATAGAAGTAGGCAATCTATTCGTCACTTTGTTTTGCTTGCTGGTTTTGGGGACATCTTTAAGGTCAAACGAGCCTCTGGTAGCTCAGATGACCTATCAAGGCATCCCTATGAGATGCAGTGGAAAGAGAAAAGCCAGCACTGCCTTGATGCTTTCCCTTCTTCCCTAAACCTTTGAAGCTCCTCCGGCAGGAGCGCCTCATCCATCGTGCACATAAGTTCAAAAACATTCCAAAACTTCAGTCAAGTAGAGGCATCCATAGCTGTCACTCCCATATAGACATGCTGTTGGAAGATATTTGGAAACATAGCCTTGGGGGACTCCTAGACTGGCATATTTGTGTAGAAGCTGGCCCATCTTCAGTTCAAAGCCTTGGTGGCGGAGTTGTGATTACGGTTCGTTGAGTTCTGTTCAATTTCTCTTCAATACAAGGTTTGCATTACAAAAACTACGTGCGGCCTCACACAGCCTTCGACTGGATCTAGACTGGCCATATAACCGCATTCTAGGTCTACATCAGAGCTTTCCAAACCTGTTGTGTCAGGGATATGCTTTTTACGAGGGGTATTTTTTAAGTCAGGTCCGCAACGAGCGCGTGCAACGAGCGCGTGCGTCGTGTACTGGCATGCCTCGGGAACAACTGTGCTCAATTTCCGCTCTGTAGCTAACCTGTACGGTTCTGTTCTGTGCTTTAAAAATGTTTAAGACTATCAACTCGCCCGCCGCATGTGAGGTGTAATCAAAGAAGGGACCGGAGCGGTCCTCATCATGGACGTTGTCACGGCCATCTTTGAATTGTCGTACCCACTTACGCACTTTGCTTTCACTCATAACAGTATCACCGTACACTTCACAAATCTGTCGATGAATTTCTGCAGCAGGCAGGTTCCTTGCTGACAAAAACCGTATCACTGAGCGAACCTCACATGCGGCGGGTGAGTTGATAGTCTTAAACATTTTTAAAGCACAGAACAGAACCGTACAGGTTAGCTACAGAGCGGAAACTGAGCACAGTTGTTCCCGAGGCATGCCGGTACACGACGCACGCGCTTGTTGCGAACTACTAGTGTCTACAACAAAATGGACCTTACTTAAAAAATACCCCTCGTAGATATGTGTCATTTTGCAGCACAGTCAATTCAGTTTTACTAGCAAACCGAACATCAAACCAACCTCTTATGAAAGACACAGATACATACATTTTATTTATTTATTTATTTATTTACAGCATTTATATTCTGCCCTTCTCACCCCAAAGGGTTCTCAGGGCGGATCAAAGAACACATAAACGGAAAACATTCAGGACAGACAACAGATAGATCCATGTGTCGGCATTTCCCCCAACTTTGGTGTCATGGAGGTTGTGCTCAATTCTGGCCACAGGGGGGTGCTATCACTTCATCTTCTATAACAAAGAGCCCTTGATCACAGGCTTCCTCCTTTCTTTGATCGCTGGTACTTCCTTTTTATGGTGCCGTAAAATACCCTCCCTTAAGCGGTGCCTAATTTCTCTACTCATAACTCACAGCTGTTTTTGAACTGTTTAGGTGGACAGTGAGCTGGGTTAAAGGTCAGGTGCTCACCCCGACCCTGGATTTGAATTGCCAACCTTTCGATTGGTATGCGATTAACCAGCTGTGCTAAAGCCCAGCCCATAAATAAATTATAATGTAAGGTGCCACAACATATCTCATGAAAACCTTACATTAATTTTTTGTTAAAAATATATATGATTTATTGCTTATTTCATATAGATGCAGAGGTTTCTCCTTATATTCATGCAACACACTAATGCAGGAATGTGTTACAACACAGTTTGGCAAGCTCTGGTCTACACCGATGTGTAACGCTGTTCAGACTGCATTGTATGGCAGTGTAGATCCAGCCTTAAAATCCACAGTCAGGTTGGGTTGGGGGATTATGGGAGTTGGTGCCTCCAAAAGTAATGTCTCCAAACGTTGAGCGGGCCCTGTTTGGATAGCTATGGCCATTCCTCCTACAGTTGCCAACCTCACTGCCAAAAGCAATGTTTTCTGGTCACCAGAGGTAGCGGTGGCATCCAGCCTTGCCCGAAGGATACCCACACGTCTCCCAATCCATGTGGCAACCAAAGTGGAGTCCGTCCTCCCTCTCCCTCTCTCCAATCTGTGCTGGTATATAGGGGACCCGCACTCACATATATCGAGAGGAGTGGTCTTTGTGCAATTTAGCCTCTGTGCGGGGAAACCTCAAGCGTCTGCCACAGCAAGGGTGGTGGCCTCTGCGATTAGGATTTGTACGTGTGTGTTTGCGTGTCTCTTTGTCGTGCGAGAGGTGGGCACAAGTGTGTGTGCAAGTGTGTGTGCCTGTAAGTGTGCAATCTAGTCACCAAAGACCATGATTCATCACCTTTGCACTCAGCGTTGCTCAGTGTACGGAGCTTGTAGATTTCATATCACAAGGAAGTTTTAAAGCTGCTCTCTCTTTCTTTTTTTTAAAGAAATTGATTTCATTTTATTTTGGTCATTGTACCTAATGGGTTTCGATAATAAAGAGAGACTTGGAGATGTGCCTGTTGATCTGTGATCATGTTACTTACCTGATGGTGCGGGTGGGTGTTTGGCAAAGAAACCCCAAGAGCCATCCAGTCCAACCCCCTTCTGCCAGGCAGAAAGGCACCATCGAAGCCCTCCTGACAGATGACCATCCAGGCTCTGTTTTAAAACATCTATTGGAAGAGATGGAGTGAAGGGAGAGGTTGTCAAACCTCAAATGAAAACAAAGTGGATTTCTCTTAGAGAATACAAAAGCACCTTTCTTACCGCTGCATTACTTTGTGTTGCCCAAACAAACATTTCCTTTATACTGGATTATCTTTTAATCGTTCTTGTTTGCCTTCTCTTTTTAATCAGGAAAGGTAGGCAGCAGCAGTGAACTCTGACTGAGGTTCGGACTTCGGGCATTACGGGATTAAATCAAGGTCAGGCAATGGACAGAATGGATGGGGACCCAGTTTCTCGTAAGTGAGCGTGAGGCCCGGCAGCCCCTTTCTCTGTTAGGAATAACTTTTCAATAACTTTAAAGCATAGGTTCTTTTTATTGCAATTTTCCAGTATGAGAAAGAGTATCAGAACGTTTATACTTTCACAGAGAACGACATTAGAGACACAGTCATACAGATTCTATATAACTACATTGGATCCACAACCAACCTACAGTTACATTGGTTAACAAACAAGTTACATTTTTACTCCCCATTCATATAACACATACACATTCATCCTCATACATAATATGAAAGGTATTAATTAAAGATGTCCCCTGACCCATTTCTATTTATCACAGGATGCGGAAATTGCATATTTGTAATCAATCATATAAGTCTCTAGCAGTGGTTCTCAACCTGGGGTCCCCAGATGTTTTTGGCCTACAATTCCCAGAAATCCCAGCCAGTTTAGTAGCTGTTAGGATTTCTGGGAGTTGAATGTCAAAAACATCTGGGGATCCCAGGTTGAGAACCACTGCTCTATAGGTAACGTGCCAATTTACAACTCGGAACGGATAACAGTCTTGTTACAGGTGCTTAAGTGGGGTGAGGTTTGAGAATGGACTCAGTGGAATACAGAGAAGGCATCAAGTTCCTTTCCTTGAAAGGTCGCACACCAAAGGAGATGTTCGATGAGATGAAAGAGGTTTCTGGTGAGGATTCGCCATCATATGTGGTTGGACTTCGGTGGAAACAGCTCCAATTCCAGGGTGACCCCACTCTGCTATTGATGAATACATCATTCAGCAAGTGGAGGCCACCATTTTGGAAAATCACCATGTAACCATTCACCACCTAGCCCAAAATGTTAAGATTAGTGTGGGGTCCATGGGAAAAAAAATCACCCAAGATCATATTCACATGCATAAGGTATCCGCTGGTTGGGTCCCCTGGCTGTTCACACCTTTCCAGAAGCAGAAATGAGTCGAATTCTCTTAGGCTCTATTGACAATGATGTGCCATGGAAACCAGGAGGACTTTTTCAACAGACTTATCATACAGGATGAAAGCTATGTCCATCACGATGATCCTGAGACTAAAGTCCAGTTGATACAATGGAAGCATCATGACTCACCGCCTCCAAAGAAGGCACATGCCCAACTCTCAGCAGGCAAGGTCATGCTCACAGTATTTTGGGATAAACACGGAATAGTGTTAATGGATTTCCTAGCAAAGGGTACCATGATCACTGAGGCATACTAAGTTTCACTGCTGCGTAAATTGCAGGAGGCCATCAAAACGAGCAATGTAGCATGCTCCCCAAAGGTGTCCACCTGCAAGGCCATGCACCTGTTTACAATTCACCTGTTGCTCAAATGGAAGCATTCTCCAGTGGCTTACTCTGCACCATCGGACCTTCACCTCTTTCCAACAAGGAAATTATTTTTGTAGGGCAAGCGTTTTTCAGATGAGACTCTGATTTCTGAAGTCACAACGTGGCTTTTGGAGCAACCTGATGGCTTCTACAAGCAAGGTGTTTACAGTTGCTTAAAAAGATGGGAGAAGTGTGTGTCCCTAGGTGGCACTGATGGAGAGAAGGACTCAGAACTGTGCCAAGTTTTTGTTGAAGGCTTTCATGGCTGGAATCCCTGGGTTGTTGTAGGTTTTTTGGGCTATATGGCCATGTTCTACAAGCATTATCTCCTGATGTTTCTCCTGTATCTACGGCAAGCATCCTCTGAGGATGTTTGCCATAGATGCAGGTGAAACATCAGGAGAGAATGCTTCTAGAACATGGCCATATAGCCCGAAAAACCTACAACAACCCTGTGCAAAGGTTCTTTTGCTCTCAATCCACAGGAAGTGGGTGAGGGAAAATCTTTAATGAATGCCCCCCGTATTACCGTATTCTTTCTCCTTCCGTGGAGAAGCACCTTCTTAGGCCAGACCTTGTTTTCTCTGCAGGATGGCAACACACCGTTCCAAAACTTCCAGAATGCATCCTCTTTCCCTAAGACCAATGCCAAGGATCAGATCTCTGTTTTCCCTACAGCAGAAATTGACGCTCTGCAACCGTGTCATGACTCCAAAATCACACTTTCTTCCCTTGAGAAAAGGAGCAAGTGACCAGACTGTGTTTCATTGCAGAGCTGCCATTCCCAAAAGTATACTATCTCTCCCCTTCCCAAGGAGAAGTGTGGTGGGTGAATAGCACCACTGTCTGTTGCACCGGAGAATTATTACATTGAGTTTTTATAGGAATATTCTGCTGATGTTGTTCCAAAGTTGTAAATGAATGATAGATGTTTTTCCAGCCTGAAACATCCTGGCTCGCCAGGTCCTGGCAGATATTGACTGTCACGATTCCAGGGCTCTGTCGGCATGAAGGCAGAGGTGAACCAAACACCCAGCTTGTGTCAAACGGTTTAAGTAAAGCAGCACTTACTGTCTGACTGTTTTCATAGTCCAAATGTAAAACACAAAGGTAGAACTCAGCCACAGAATATAAAACAAAGACTAGTCGCAAATGCTGATGCAGGTTAAAGCGGCTTGGGGGAAATTTAGGAATTGTGGGAATTGAAGTTCAAAACACTTGGAGGGCCCAAGTTTGCCC